ATCACAATCTATAGGCTGCTTAAAACAGAGCATTGCTAAATTATACTAATCCCTTGGTAAACAAGACAATCAAATATCATTAATGAACTTCTGCATTCACCATACAATGTAATAAATTCCAACATACTTTGTTTCCAAAAGCCTTATGAGAGGCAGAATGCTTTTTCCCAACTCAGCCATTTTGTTTGTGTCCTCAAGGTAGTGTTTACCAAATGAGAGGAATTCTTCCAGAAAAGCCCTACAACAGTACAGATTAAAGTCAACAGTACAATAGTGCATACAAAATAGGGGCAGCTACCAAGAAAACAAGGGTCCTTACCTAGCTAACATCTTAGACAAGTCTGCATCCAAGGTGATATTTTGGAGTATTGCTTCAAGAATCTCTTTACACACAACAGGACCTGCCACATCAGCATCCTCCCCTATGAAGAACAGCCATGGAGAAAAGAAAAAAAAAAAAAAAAAGGGAGGGCATCAGTTTTCAGTTATTTCCAAGAGACAAAATGTAAATGGAAAAAGCTGTATCTTTGATCATTTAAGAACAGCAAACATCTTGGCCAGCTTCAATTCTGGAATGGGCCATTAGACCAATAATAGATTTGTTTGGCGATTCTTCATTCTTGGCATTGTGTAGCAAATAAGGATTTCATATCAAATATTATACATTTTAATCAAGCAGTAGTACATTCAAAAGGTCAGGTTTCATTATCATACATTTTTGTATTTTCCTTCTAAAAGATGTTAGGAATCAGGCATGGTGTATGGAACAAAATTATTGTTTTTAGCAAAGGTGTAATCAGAAGGATATCAGATGAGGTATCACTACCAATGGAATACAATTTTAGGTCCTAAATAAATCCACCCAAATATCGAGTCTGCCAATATTCAAGATAGGACTATACTGTAGAAGTATCACGGAGACAAAAAAGTCCATGTGATGGATGTATTCATGTGTGGACTCAATTAGAGATGCACCGATATAGAGTATTTTCACAAGTACTCATGGAAATGCTCTCAATACTCAAAACAGATACTTGCCAAACAAAATTATTTGGTACAAATTGCACTGATAAGAACGGTAGTGATTTGAACAAGAATACGGTGCCATTCCTGTCTAAATCACATATGGTTTCCCCACCGCTCCTGTGTGAATCCAGGCTTGTCAAAACCTGACTTCACACAGGAGCAGTGCGGGAAACTTCCCTGCACTGATCCCATGCTGTCACACAACGAAAAGCTGCTTTACAGGTCTGGGAATTTGAAATCCCAGCGAATTTCTCTCCTCTTCCGGCAAGGATGACAATACTTCTGATTGGTCAGCACGGTGCTGACCAATCTGAAGCTGTCTAGCTTGTACGGTCATCCCTGCAAGGGAAAGCCACAGGAATTTAAAATCCCCAGACCTGTGAAGCAGCTCTCTCCTCTCCTTGCAGGGATGACAGTACAGGCTAGACTGCTCCTGATTGACCAATAAGAAGTACGGTCACTCCTGCAAGGAGAGGAGAGAAAGCTGCCTTTATGTTTCCCGCACCGCTCCTGTGCGAACTCAAGCTATGAAAAACCAGGGTTAACACAAGAGCAGTGGGGAAACTACATGCGATTTAGACAGGAATGGCACTGCATTCCTGTTCAAATCGTATGCCATTTTTTGTGGTGTGATTTGCGCCCGTTCATTTTGTATGGGTGCAAATCGCACCGCAAACTATAAGTACTTGGTATCTTAAAGTACTAAACCAAAGTATCGGTACTCAAATTAAAAAAAAAAAAAAAAAGTGTATCGGTACATCCCTAGACTCAATACAGAGTAGGTTAGATGAAGGGTTCATAGACAACAAAATCACTGATGAATTTGTCTGTTAGCCTATAAGCTACATACATACACTATGTTGCCTAAAGTATTTGGACACCCTTCCAAATCATTGGATTCAGGTTTTCCAATCACCTCCATGGCCACAGCTGTATAAAAATAAAGCACCTAGGCATGCAGACTTCTTCTACAAACATGTGTTAAAGAATGGGTCGCTCTCAGGAGCTTAGTGAATTCAAGCATGATAGCTTGCCCCCTGTGCAATAAATCCATCCGTGAAATTTCCTTGCTACTAAATTTTCTCTACGGTCAACGGTTTGTGGTATTATAACAAAGTGGAAGCAACTGGGAACAGCAGCAGCTCAGCCCACAAAGTGGTAGGCCACGTAAAATGACAGAGTGGAGTGCTGACTCCAGTCTGGCATGCTTTAGCGCACAGTGCGCAGAAGTCGCCAACTGTCTGCAGAGTCAAACTTCATGTGGCCTGCAGATTAGCACAACAGTGCGTAGAGAGCTTCATGGAATGGGTTTCCATGGCCAAGCAGCTGCACCCAAGCCTTACATCACCAAGTGCAATGCCAAGAATCAGATGCAGTGGTATAAAGCACACTATCACGGAACACTAGAGCAGTGGAGTCGTGTTCTCTGCAGCGACAAATCACGGTTCTCTGTCTGGAAATCTGGACGTGTCTGGGTTTGGCGGTTGCCAGAAGAATGGTGCTTGCCAGACTGCACTGTGCCAATTGAAAAGTTTGGTGGAGGGGGGTTTATGGTGTGGTGTTTTGCAGGGGTTGGGCTTTGCCCCTTCGTTCCAGTGAAGGGAACTCTTAAGGCGTCAGCATACCAAGACATTTTGGACAATGTCATGCTCCCAACTTTGGAGGGTTCACAAAGCAAGGTTCATAAAGACATGGATGAGCGAGCTTGGGGTGGAGGAACTTCACTGGCCTGCACAGAGTCCTGATCTCAACCCCATAGAACACCTTGGGGATGAATTGGAGCGGAAACTGCAAGCCAAGCCTTCTAGTCCAGCATCAGTGCCTTCTGGAAGAATGGTCAAACATTCCCATACACACTCTTAAACCTTGTGAACCTTCCCAGAAAAGTTGAAGCTGTTATGGCTGCAAGGGTGGGCCAACTCAATATTGAACCTTACAGACTAAGACTGGGATGCCATTAAAGTTCATCTGTCGGTAAAGGCAGGTGTCCCAATACTTTGGCAATATAGTGTATGTTCTCTTATACTAGTATAACACATTTTCACACTTGCCATGATCTACCACCCCTGCCAACTAACCTACTGAGTCCACATGTGATTATAGTGTTCAAGTAGACCTTTGGTCCCAATGATATTCTGTACATACTGAAGGTGTCTGGTCACTTGTAAATTAGCCTATAGACATATCTGCATTTTGTAAAGCTCAATATTGGGTAAGATTTATTTACACAACTCAGGTCACATTTGTGTCTATATTCTTTGCCATTAGCTGCTGATCCGAGGCCGCAGTATAGTAAGGGTTTAAGCTCTTTGAACTTTTTTAGTTTTGCTTTTAACCACTTCACACCCTTACGATGGTTGAGGTGGTTAAACTGGGAAGATCACTGCAGCTCCAGCCATGATCCCAGCAACAAAAGTTTCATCCAGATGGTGATGCCATGTGCAGAAGGGGCCCAGCAGAATCTTGGTAGCCTTCCAACCTTCTAATGTAAACACAGTGTTTCTAAGCTCTTTGAAGCCAGCTGAGTCTTTGCTGTGATCTGTGAGTACAAATTACTTTACAGCACAGGCAGCTACAGGTCAGGGGTGACTTGTTTTAAACATTACATTTTTGTCAGTAATAAGTTTATAAGTTCATAGCCTGGGCACAAGTGCCTTACAAAGCCGACTGATAGAGATCCACATACCTGCTGATGAGTGGATGATAGTGGAGACCAAATTTAATAGAAGGTATTCTAAAAACGAGGATATGTCATATAAGCTGGATATTTCCTTCAGAACACCGACCAGGTCAGGCACCTTGCAGAGATGAATAAATGGCCTACAGGACAAGAACAGATATGTAGAAAAACAGTTTAGGCACTAAAAAAAATTAAAATTTGTTAGCTTCACTAAATCTATGGGTAACAATTAATGGGTTGATTTTCGCTAGGGACTAAAACAATCAGGCCTGATGCGATGATTTCCGTTCCAGAAGTGCTTCAAACCTTAAAATATTTATTAGTTAATGAAGTCTTCAATTCAAACAGAAGAATTCTTACATAAAACTGACCTTAAGCGATACAGCCACCCTTGCGAATGGCTCCAAATTTTATACTGGCATTTAATCAGGTTTCCACATTTACATTACCCTCAAGGTACTGAGGGGCTCTGAACCTAAGCTATTAATTTAGTGTGTTTACTGGCTGAAGCATCACACACATCTTAAAAGCGTGAACGTAATCGTGAGCATCTTAGAATCCTATGACAAGAGGTTGCAGCACACTCCAAAAAGAACAGGTCAGAAACCTGCAAAGGCAGTACAAAATTTAACTGCAATGATTGCTGAAGGGTAGAAAAGCACATCATTTTTAATGCAATACTTTGCACAAAAACACTACTTTTGGTTTTGTTTTCAGAGTGCAAGAAGGCCCCTTCTAAAAGGAAATGACTTACAACATAACCTGAAGGGGGCCTGGCTTGGACATGGAAGAGCTCCTTACAGACCAATGCTTCTTCAGCCTGCTATGGGGGTCCCCGTGGCTAAATCAGCTTAACTGTGTTTTTGTCCCACTGCCGCAGAGCTTCTTCCCAGCCTCGGGGGACTTCCACTGCTGGCTGGGGCTCCATAAATTTCTTTCTTTGGTGCGTGCAAACGAGAGGAGAGGGCTCCAAGATTATGCCGGAAAACGGAGCGGAGGCATTACGCCATGGCCACATGCCAGTCTTTAAAGGTTCCAGCGGTATCACCGATCGTATCTCCCAGACTGGTGAGTGACACGGCAGCCCCGGCTTCCCCCTACTCAGTGGCCTCTAAGGATCAGAATCTTTGATATTTATGACATTACAGGGTATAGAGACCTGAAACAGCACATTTGGTCTATCTCCACCAGAGGATCTGGATCGCTTTGCCTGCAGAGGGGAGAAGGCCCTTAAACAAGATATTGCAGTCAGATTCATACCCTGAAGAAATCACGTGATCAGTGACGCAACGTGTCAGGCAGAGCCTAGTGACGTCACTTCCGGTACTGCGCAAGCAGGAATGAGCGATGTGAGGAACCTTTTTGGTTGATGGATATGTACATGCTTGCTATTTCATTATCTTTGTGAGTTCATTTTACATTTGAATAAAACAGTTTATTTTTATGGGGTTGCACTATGATCTGTTCTCTTTCCTCTTGATCATATACCATCCCATTGGGAATCCTTGAGTCCGTTCTCCTAAAGGGCCAGGATCAAGGAAATAGCCACTAAAGGTCAGCAGTAAACCAGCAGAAGTCGATCATTGCTTTTAAGTGTTTGTGACCTACCTTATAGGTCAAGGAAAAAAGGAGAGTGTATGGTACACTTATTCAGTGATGGGAAACGCTATGGATTAATTTGCACGGTGGAGAAAAGCGAATATTGGATTTTTGCATCTTGGAGCACATTTTATTTTTTCTTAATGAAAGTGAGTGCGTGTAGTTTTTTAAAAATAGCAATGCACTACGGTATATATTGTTTTTTTCATGCATGGCTTTGGAGCTAAGATTCAATGAAGATCAAGCACGTGGAAGGAATATCAAGGTGAACAGGGAGTGGGGCTACAATCCAAGCATGTTTTTGGAATTTTTGGATGATAGCGCAACATTAGGACTTATTTGTTGGATTGGACTGATAACTTCACATTTGATTTTTTGAGGATTGTTTGTGTTTGTTTTTAAGATTTCTGTTTCACATTGAGGAGTTAGCGCATCACATTTTTTGTCTAATTATTTAATTTGAGAGTACACTTGGCTAGTGAGTGCAGCAATGTCCTCCTTCCTTCATTTTACCTAGGGTGTAGCAGTGCACAAGATTATATTATTTGCAGTCAGATACTACTCATCTTAGCAATAGGCTGGAGACACCTATCCCTATACTATCAACACTTTGAGATAAATGTGCAGGATAGGACCAGAGGAAAGAGATCCTCCTTTGCCAATCAGGTGATAAGAACCACAGCCGCCGTTCCAATATCCGTATTCTGGGGCTGCCAGAGGCCACAGTGGCAAAAGAACATTCTACCTATGCTGTCCCGCCACACATTACATGCAACACAGGGTTCAAAACCCTCTTTTGGATGCCCTATGTGCAGCCGGCACCACATATAGGTGGGGGTGCCCCTTTAGCCTCCATGCAGAAAAGGGATGGCAAATCTGCATTATTAAGCACTAAAGATGATCTTCCACCCATTGTTACTCAGTCGGACCTTACCCAGATGGACTTTCCTGATTGGTGCTACTCTACCGACATCACTGTGCCCTCGGCTCCTCTACCCTGGCTACCTGCAAGATCCAAGGGCCGATACAGAGGTCACAAATTCCCTTTGTCTGAAACCCCACCTCTTGCTCCATCCAGGGGTGACTGAGGGGCTGCTATCACCTTTTCATCCTTGAACCATGCATTCACTTGTTCTTGCCTACTCATCAACTCCTGAACTGACAGTCCTACAGGACTCTGTTATTGTTTTCTCCAGGGGCGGTGTCAGGGAAGGCCTGCCCATAGTGCAGGTAAAGTTCCGCGGTGCACAAATAGGCGCATGCGCAGAGTCCTTACCAGTCAAACAGATGTGCAGGTACTTGCACATATGCAGGCGCGAGCCTGTCACTAATGCTGGCGCCAAAAGGGCTATTTAAATTGGCTGCAGTAGTTGTCCCATTGCCGTATGGCCTTTTCTTTGCTCGTGTTCCCCGATTCCTGTGATTGACTCCTGATACGGAACCAGCCTGTTCCTGATCTCTGCTTGATTGCTTCCTGCCCTGACCTCTAGCTTGTCTTGGATTATTATTCCGTCTCTGCTCCTGTCTGATTGATCTTCTGTTGCTGACCTGGCCTGTGACCTGACTACTCTTCCTCCTGCTGCTGTAAGCCAAATCTGCCTGACCGATACCGAACCCGGCTCATCTAACCCTGCATCCTCAGCAAGCTGCGCTCTAGTATACATCCATCCCGCATGGCTACATCAGAACCCTGCTCCTTGCCTGCAACTCATCAGCTCACCTGCTATTACCGGACTGATCTCAGGCACTCATACCCCACCGTGCCCCTGCGACCGCTGTCTCACATCAGCAGTCCTTGAGCCGGAGTTGTACGGGAAGCCTGCCATCACGTCAGGCTCACGATCCAGGTACGTGATGGGCGGTCTGTCTGGGTGGTGGGGGGACTCTCCCCTTCCCACTCTCTCCCTGGATCCTCTTGGCTCCCTTGTGTCCCCTCTCTGATGCCGCACTGCTTGGTTTTGAATGTGTGTCAGGCTAGTATACAGTGTCTCTCTCTCTCAAAATATTTTGTTTTTGTTTTGAGACACGGGCACAATTTTATACTTTTGACTCTGTATGCCACCAGAATAAACTCAAACGAAACAATCCAAATGAATTTGAAGTGCAGATTTTCAGCTTTAATTCAAGGGGTTGAACATAAATCTCAAGAATCAATTTTAGAAACTGCAACCATTTTTACGTACAGTCCCTCCATGTTCAGGGACGCAAGTGTAATTGGACAAAAAAATATAAATAAAAATGTTATTTAAGCTTTTGTTGAGAATAATTTACTGGCAATAAATGCCTGAATTCTGGAACCCATGGACATTACCAAAGACTGGGTTTCCTCCTTTCTGATGCTTTGCCAGGCTCTGACTGCAGCTCTCTTTAGTTGTTTTGTTTGTGGGTCTTTCTGCCTTTAGTTTTTCCTTCAGCAAGTGAAATGTATGCTCAATTGGTTTGAGATCAGGTGATTGACTCAGCCATTGCAGAATATTCCACTTTTCCTTCAAAAGCTACTGGGTTGCTTTTGCAGTGTGTTTTAGATCATTGTCCATCTGTACTGTGAAGCGCCGTCCAATCAACTGTGCTGCATTTGGCTGAACCTGGGCTGACCGTATATCTCTAAACACTGCAGAATTCATCTGGCTGCTTTTTTTTTTTTTTTTTTTTTTTTTTTTTTTTTTACATATTATAGCTTTAATTTATCATACAAATCTGTTTCAAATCATCTTAAAATACAAAAATCTATACTTATTTAGAATAACTCCAACATTTACCCCCCCCCCCCCCCCCCCACCTCTTGCCTGTCCTTCTGCTTACGTCTTGATCTTTTGTTAATTTATCTTATTATTTCTCCTCATCTTTTCCCATCTCCTTATTTAATTTTCTTTATTGTCCTACACTCCAACCACTTCTAAAAATCTTTCATTTTTGAAAATATACCATCCTTCCCAGATCTTTTTAAAATTTTCCATTTTATCCTCATCTATATGGCAGAATTCTTCCATCCTATGTATATACTCAACTCTTTCCATCCAGTCCTTTATTTTTGGGCCTTCTGTTTGCCAATATTTATGAATAGGACTTTTAGCTGAATTTAAAAGATGGAACAATATCATTTTTATATTGATTCTCAGACCGCTTTGATTTATGAAATAGGCAAACCCACGAATCCATCTGTACACTATTCCTCTGGATATTTATATATATAAATAAATAACTATCTCCCTCCAAAACTCATGTATTTTGGGGCAGTCCCACCAGATAAGTGCCACTGTACCTTTACTCACACATCCTCTCCAGCACTGGGATGAGATCTCTGGCCTTAGTTTTTTTTGCATCACATTAGGAGTATTATACCATCTAACCAGACATTTACAATTCATTTCCACTATATTCATCGCTCCATGTGTTAATCTAAACATTTTACTTTTTTGTTGCTCATTCAATTTTGTTCCAAGCTCCGTTTCCCACTTTTCCAGGAATTTTTGGGGTACCGATCCCTCCATTTCAGTAAGTATTCTGTAAATCCTAGAGGTAGTGTGTGTGTTCTATTTGT